ATTGATATGCGGGGTTTAACTTCCCAAAACAACCATATGATTATGAGACGCCGTAGTGAAAGGCTCTGGAAATTTTGACCACCTGGGGTCCTTTAACGTGCACCCAAATCTGCGCACACGAGAAAGAACAAGAAAAAAAAAAGATGAGCGCTCATCTTCTCTTTCTCCCTTTAGTGTCGTTGTGAGATCGCGCTATAACAATCGTCATGTCATACCAACTAGCCCAAACCTCCTTGCCTGGGAGTCACCGGGAGAAGTGCACTGCCGCCACGTCGCACTTTCGCGGCGGGACAGCCGCGGAAGATGCATACTCGTGCCAAAATGACTGAATCCGGGACAAAATTTCTAGATTGTCTGTGGCGAAAATTGGTTATTGTGTTCAGTAACGGAGAGCCATTTATTTGCCACGAATGTACCTAGGAAGCACTAGTGAAGGAAGGATTTGAGAGAGAGATACGAGTCAGCGGCAACACGGCGAACCCATTTTAATATTACACAAAATGGCAAAAAATGCGACACTCAGAATTGATTCCCAAAAAGAGACATGCACACAATAATCCACTCTACAAGCGAAACCGGAACTAATATAAATCCAAGTCAAGTTCTATCCTTAGCCCTAAACTGTCTCTATTCGAGATGACGTCTAGTGGCTACTCTCATGCGCTCCCCCAACAGTAGATCATTCTTACTGTTTCGATACCACTTCCGAAACTGCGACGAAGTAGTACCGTCGTTGAAGTCGTCCTACAAAACCTCGCTGAATGATCCACACGACCTCATTGCCGGTTGGTTCCGGTCTTCGTCACGTTCTACGGCTCATTTAGGCTACGCCCAACTCGTCAACGGCGCCTTGATTGATTGATTGATTGATTTGTGGGGTTTAACGTCCCAAAACCACCATTTGATTATGAGAGACGCCGTAGTGAAGGGCTCCGGAAATTGTGACCACCTGGGGTTCTTTAACGTGCACCCAAATCTGAGTATACGGGCCTACAACATTTCCGCCTCCATCGGAAATGCAGCCGCCGCAGCCGGGAATCGAACCCACGACCTGCGGGTCAGCAGCCGAGTACCTTAGCCACTAGACCACCGCGGCGGGTCATGTCAACGGCGCCTTGACTGTGGTGGGGGGCCGCATACGTTCTGGATCAAAGCGGAGGAGCTGTAGTCCACCAAGAAATTGCTGTGACAGGTTGCGGCAAGTTCGGGCAGCCTCACTCGATTCTTCCGATATCAACGGCCAATCCCCGAGCTTTTTCACTCAAACCTCAAAACTGGGTAGTTTTACTGCTTCCGTCGCGGTAGCGACGCTTGTTTCCCTCGTCTTCGCAGCTCGGCGTTCCATCACCCAGTGCCAACTCATCTTCTGGGCTTTTTCTTCTTGGCTCAGGTGCACGCTACGTGCCTTTCTTCGACTAATCTCTTGCGTCTACATGTCTGGTGTGTGTGCCATCGGGTGACTCTCTTCATCCGTCGCCACGCTTCAACATTTGGCACGCACCTCTCCTTAACTGATCACAGTTATATCAACGTTGCCTCCTGCTGTCGCAAATACATGTGGTTCTATGAGGTAACGGTGGGGAATAGAAACAAAACTTCGTTATACTGAAAAATTCATTATATAGAGGTTCATTACAAGCAGCTTTAACTGTAAAAAGAAGCGAATGCCTTTGCCATGAGTGGGGCCAACAATCTATGCATCCAATGCACTCCCCACCGAGCTGTGAAGATGGGTGTCCCCCCCTTTTCACTAAGTTGGGCATTGCTGTGCCCATAATCACCACCAATTGACAAGGCAGCAATGATGTTTTTGTTAGAGGGCATCCTGTGGCACATTATCTCTACACAAGTGGACGAATAAAACCCTTGCCCCCTGGGAGAAGGCCCATGCCATGGAAGAAGAAAAATCATTGCTTGAGGAGCTTGTTTCTTTGTGCGACCCGAACATGTTTCACTACGTATCCTAGGTAGAACACAAAAAAACCACAGCGATATCCACAAAATGAGTGGTCTTAGAGGAGCTTGCTCGGAGGTAAATCGGGCGTTTCTTGGCGAGACCATTTCTGTGGGAAGGCTTGTTAACGAACCAGCGCATGATGAGTACGTGAAAGGCTACGTTGTTAGGCGCATTCCACGACCCCCAATGCACAGCGTTGGCCACATCAATCGGCACGTTAATTACCTTCCCCTTTATGCTATACTAGACGCTGCCGTGACCAAATGCATAACACTAATAAATGGCAGACGTGGAGCTAATCGGCATTTTTCAATGGGGTTGAGAGCAGGCAGGTGAGGGGGCTTGGGAAGATATTGGTATCCGTGTCTATCTCTCATTGTAGAAACTTGTCACGTGCTGCTGTCCCTACAAAGCGAATGGCTTTCTTTTATTGCGATAGCAATTATGTGGGCCCTCTCGGCTAAATATTGCGACCGACGTAACCGTCATTTACTGTATATGAATACGTATCTATATATATAAAAATGCAAGAAAGAAAAATTATCTGGAAAAAGACTAGTGCGCAGAATCGAACCTCCAACCTTTTAATTGTAAGTGCGAGTCGTTAGCCACTGAGCCACAAAGGAGCACCTTCTTCGACGTTCAAATGGCAAGCAATTTATATCTACCACTTCCTGCTGGCGAATGAGCGTCTCGGAAGAACTACTATTGTGTTTTCAGCATTGCCAGCGAGATGGTGCAATGAGCGCGCGTCGCCAGATTGTCAAGACGTGGCGGCACGCGCTCTCATCCCCCATGCGTACTTAGCCACGCGGAGAAGAGATGCTCTCGCGAACACTCGTTTAGCTTGCAGTGGGGAGAATCGTACACTTTGGGCTTTCACCGGAACGATTCTGTTGTAGTTACAAGGCGCACAACGGCCACTGCACTCGTAGCACAGTCTCTGTTTGGGAAAATGGTGTGCTTTTCAGACACAGTGAACCAAAAACTGAGATGCTTATACACATTCATCTGTACCTGTGAGTACATACCATGCATCATTTGTGCGTGAGAAATGCAGGGCACATTTCGATCTGCTTGCCATTCTTCGCGTGACCTTTCAGTTTATAGCTACCGCATTCATTGCTTCGCCTTTGCGGCAAAGCTGTGACTTTTTTGTCTCCTCCCAGCTTGGAGGCGGCGCGTGTTCGCCTACGGCCAGATCAAACACTGAAACCCTCCTCTTTTCCTCTCTTCCACATTCCTTTCTCTCCTTAACTACCCATCCCCCGTGTGGCATTGCTGAGGTGACCCGAGAGAGAGACAGGATGCCACACTTTTCTCTTCACTTCCCTTCTTTCAAATGTATTTCGAGAAGGCGAGAGCATGAGCGATAAAAATCCGACACCTTGGTTGGTGGCGCGCCATCTAGTGGGCATCGTTGGACTCACTAGACAGGCGACCGAAGTAGCAACTGGAGAAGAGTACACTGGCAAAACTGGTGTACACGCCGGCCGCCGCCACCAGTCCAGGTGCGAGCAATGGAAGCTTCTTGACCAAGCTCCTAAAATCCCATAATGACCGGAGCGTCTACAAATTTCAAACCTGCCATTGCCAACTTGTGAAAACCGGTTCAACAAATGGAACTCAGCGACACGTGCACATCCTTACCTCCCCAACACTCCCCCTCCCCCTTTTTTTTCACAGCATACCTATTCCTTTTTCATACAATTCGTCAAAACTCGTACAATTTGTCAAAAGCACCCCCCCTTCCCGGCTCTCTCACAGCTGCAGTTCCAATGTTGCCCCTCCCCTCATTTGTTAGGATGAAGGAGAGGGCACGAAGCGTAGACATGCTAGCACTAAAGAAGTTCCTGACCAGTGGAATGGTTAACGTGAGGCAGACTGGAAGGTGTATTCACAAGCGTTTGCCGGAGCATGCTAATTCATTAGGAGACTGAAGCCGGAACCATCCACCAGTTCATTGTGGCGCACACGCGCAGCAATGCAAGCCCATGTTCTGTAGCACCAAGGTGATAGGACGAGCCAAAAGCCAAAGAGCAAGAGAAATCTTGGAAGCATCTTGAATAGCTAGACACAGGCCTGATAAATGTGTCAGCGACACATCCGTGTGTCTTTCCAGGAAAGAGTGTAATTTCCTTTCTAGTAGATAGGAGTCTTGGCGGTGATGCAACTTGTTACGCGGCCATGACTGACACTGCCCATGCGCTTAGGTTGTTTCATAAGGGTGTATGTTTCAGTAAACCAGTTGTCAGTCTGCTATCGTCCTGACCACTTCATTTCTGGTGTCTCGTATTTAGCACAGTTATATTTTTCAACTAAAGAAATCAGTTCTGATTGATTTATTGATTGATTGATATGTGGGGTTTAACGTCCCAAAACCACTATATGACTATGAGAGACGCTGTAGTGGAGGGCTCCGAAAATTTAGACCACCTGGGGTACTTTAACGTGCACCCAAACCTGAGCACACGGGCCTACAACACTTCCGCCTTCATCGGAAATGCAGCCGCCGCAGCCGGGATTCAAACCCGCGCCCTGCGGGTCAGCAGCCGAGTACCTTAGCCACTAGACCACCGCGGCGGGGCAAGAGGCAAGAAATCAGTTCTGTTCTTGCCTTGAGGCAGACAAGTCCCCTTTTCGAAACATCAGCTCGACACAACTCCTATTTACCGATCTTTATTCATAATGATCAAAGAAGGATGTAGCTACCTAGAGACATTTCCACCTGCCAATATGTATTGCATCTACTCAATTCTTCTTTTTAATCATCCAGTAACTTGTGTGCCAAATGGCAGCTGATATGTGCACCTTTGAATGTGAAAACGGCGCAAAAAGAGAGAGAAAACTGAAGTAGAGACGACAGGGCAGCGATACTCGCAACTCTTCTTCAGCCCTTGTTTCTATTTTTTTGCACTGTTTTTACAACCCAAGCATAAACTGCCAAGTAGCCCACCTCTCGCTTCTAGTGCAGTCGTTAAGTGCAGCCGTACAGAAGAATAACGGAAAACATACACGCCGTAAATAGCAACACAATACTCACCCTGTCCTTGCGCAGGGCTATGTGGTGTTCGGCAAGCATGCGCATTCCCAGCCGTGATGTCAGGGTACGGTCAAGGAAAGTCTTCACCAGTTCATCTTGCTAAAGAAGGGAAAACACGATATGAAATACAATAGAAATAAATTGTCGGTGTCAGAAAAAGCAAAATATGTGCCATTATCTGCCGTTCATATCTCCTTAGGCAGCTAATGAATTCATGCTCAACTACTGCATGAATATATACATTACAGCAAAAGCTCATTTATTCGGACCTAGTTAACTCGAAAATTCGGTTAACTCGGACTCGCAGTGCGGTCCCGACAAAACTGTGTATATTTGAATGGGGTCACATGCTCAATAATTCGGAGAGATTTAGCCGTGCATTGGTCATCTCGGACAACTCCGTGCAACTCTGTCTCGATGGCTTGGAGGCTCAAGCACCGCTTGCCGTAACCGACAGTGAAACCCAAGTTTTAGAGAAACCGAACAAACTGCAGCACAATATAATATGATCATAATGATAGTGAAGGAGGGAGAAGTGGAGAGATGGCGCTAGTCACCACCCAGCAAAAATGCTTGGGCCACTGGCACATTCAGTGTCTACTAACAACTGCTCGTTACACCTACTGGTGTACTTCGTGACTTGGTTGACTTGGTTCTTGGTGTTGTGACTTCGCGTGTTGGGCCTGTTTGTGTGCGCCGCCGTCGTGCCTCATACCAATGGCGACTGTCACAGGAATTAAACGGCCACAGCAGCCAGTAAATAATCTTGAAAGAAAGATGTGAATGCAGATGTTTCTCAAAAAGAGATCATGAAAAAGTACGATGTTAAGAGAAGCACCTTAAGCGACTATGTGAAGAACCATGCAAAAATTTTCAAGGCATTTGAAAGCGGCAAATTCATTGGTACACGTAGAAGACTAAGGACGGCAGCACACGCGAAGCTGGAAGACGCACTGCTGTGGTGGATAATAGACATGCGGAACAGCCAGCTTCCGTTGAGTGGACCGTTGATCTGTCAGCAAGCTGAAAAGTTCGCATTGAAAATGAACATAGAATGTTTCAGTGCGTCTAACTTCAGGTGTTTGAATAACGTAACTTCAGGTGTTTTAAGAACATTCACCACTTTCTGGTGCAATATCGCGCCAATAGAAAGGCCTAGATGACCTCGGATATTTTCCAAGCTTGGCTGTGCCAGCTCGACCGCCACTTCTCCGCTAACAAACGCAAGGTTTTAATTCTAATTGACTGCAGCGCTCATACCAGAGTGACAGGGCTGGAGTGCATCGAACTTGCATTTCTGCCTGCAAACACGACGGCTGCTGTGCAACCGCTGGATCAAGGGATAATACAGCGCGTAAAAAGCAGGTACAGAAAGCATGTTTAGGAATGGACCCTGCTGTGGAAGGTAGCAGGGCGAGAATATGAACCACCACTTTTCACCGCATTCACAATTTAGCGCATGTCTGGAGCAAAACGCAGCCTGCTGTCATTGCAAATTCTTTCCGGCACAGCGGCCTTGTCCACCCTGACGACTCTGATATTCCTTCGGAGGCCACTCCATAGGACACCCATGAGCCCATTGGAAATATAGACGACGAGGTAAATGACATGCATTTGATTCTTTTCATCCTAGTGGCATTTAGATTTTAGCCTACATCCCTATAGACTATGACTGACGATATATTATTGGAAGTGCTTGAAGAGGAGCAAAATTCTTTTTTTCGATGATTACAGTCAAGATTAGCCACCAACACGATGTCGCTACACCGTGCAGGAGGCCGCCAAAGCCATCGCTGTCCTCAAGAAGTTCTGCGTTTGTCCTTGTGACAGTGAATGTGTGCACCACCACATAGATTAAATAAGATCGTTCTGTCAGAAATTCAGATAGCTAGACAGACGAAAATAATGCACTTTTTCAAAAAATGAAGGTTTGTCTGTGCTGTGTACGTTTTACTTTTCTTTTTTTATGATACCTTCGATAATTCAGAATTATGTTAACTCGGACATTTTCTCTGGTATCGTCCAATTTGAGTTAACGAGCTTTTACTGTATCATCATTATCAGCCTAAACTACACCCACTGCAGGGCAAAGGCCTCTGCCATGTTCCGCCAATCAACCCGTTCCTGTGCTTTTTGCTGCCACATTATACCTGCAAACTTCTCAATCCCATTAGCCCATTAAATTTTCTGACCCCTTCCCCCATGCGTTTGCCTTCTCTGAAAAACCAGTCAGTTGCCCTTAATGACTAGTGCTTATCCTACCTACGCGCTACGTAACCAGCCCATATCCATTTTTTTCTTATTGATTTCAACACTACGATATCCTTAACCCTCATTTGCTCTGAACTACTCTGTTCTTTTCCTGTCTCTTAATGAAGTACTGACACAAAATTTCGCGGCCGAGACAGCCTGCAGCATCGATTCTCGTGAACATTCTGATATCACCTGCAAAATATTGCCACCCACACGTAGTGGGTCGACTGCTAGAGCGGCTCTACCATCTGGAGGAAAGAAAGAAGATTGCGTGCCTCTTCTCGGCTTGAGAGCCAGCCACGACTGACGCATCATCCTAGAGCTAGCTAGCCGGTCGTTCAATAAATCCTCCAGTACTTGTGACTCATCGTGACAAACTGGTGGAAGGTGCTGGGTAGTCTCACGGATGCTGCAGACCCCCCCAGAAAGCCGTAATACGAGTCCAGTGCCAGTCAATACTCCCGTGCATCGGACTAGCCGCCGAATCAGGGGATTGCCTCCGGAAGTCAACGATACTGCTCCCACCACGTCAACAAACATGACAAGCACTTCGGTACAAACCTTGCCAACCGGCACGGGAAGCACGTCGTCGAACCGCTATACGTTGGAAAGCCCACGGGCACCGACGACGTTTCATGGTACGGAGCACGAAGACGTTGAGGACTGGTTGGCGGACTTCGAGCGCGTAGCCAACTTGAATCAGTGAGACGACGCGGCGAAATTGGGTCGTGTCTACTTCTATCTCGAAGACGGGGCTCGCACGTGGTATCAAAATCGAGAGCAGCAGCTGACGACGTGGCCCGAATTCTTACGTAGACTTCTGCAGACATATGCCAGCGCTGACCGCCAAGAAAGAGCTGAACGAGCTATTCTTGCCCGCGTCCAGTCGCCAAACGAAACTGTGACCGCGTACGTCGAAGACATGACGCGTCTTTTCCGACGGGCAGATTTAAGAATGGCGGAGGACAAGAAGTTGCGTCAGTTGATGCGCGGTGTCAAGGACCAGCTTTTCGCCGGCCTCGTGCGAAGCCCTCCGAAGACGGTCGCGGAGTTCTTGTCTGAAGCCGTGACAATGGAAAAAATGCTGCAGCAGCGATCAAACCAATACGACAGGCAAGTCAGTGGCATGTCCACTGCTGACATTTTCACCGCTGCTGGGACCAGCAATGACTCCTTACGTGAACTCATTCGTAATGTCGTACGTGAAGAGTTGCAAAAGGCTGGTGTAACACCTCATCCTATGGTTAGCTCTATTGCAACTGTGATCAAGGATGAGCTGCACCAGTCCCTCCGGGACACCTTGCCTCCTGATACAGCTGCGTCAGCTCCTGCTAAATAGCACCGTGGGACAACCTATGCGGAAGCCTTGAAATGCCTTGCTGCATTGCCGCCATTGTTCGTTCATCCTGTCCCTGCAGTTTCACTAGAGTCAGCCCAGCACATACCATACTACGAAGGCACGTACACGCCACCACCCCTGCCCTTTGTTCGTGGTGCTTCTGTCGCCCATCGTTCGGTGCAACCGGTCCAGTACATCGACGATTGGCACTCGTCTCCTCGGAAGTCTGATGTCTGGCGCACACCCGATCACCACCTCTATGCTTTCACTGCGGAGAAGCTGATCACTTGTACCGCCAGTGCCCTTATCACCGTATTGGGCTTCGCGGCTTCTCTGCGTGCTCGCCGCCATCCCGTTACGGTCAGAGACCACGCGACATCCGAAACTACCTCTCCCAGCAGCATGCACCACCGTCTGCCGGGCGCCAGTCGTGCTCGCCATCACCGAGGCGATTTTCATCAACGCCCCAGCGGTATTCTACCGCACGATCTCCCAGCCCCCCCCAGGAAAACTAGCCGAAGCGACCTCTGGGGGCGGGGTCGCTGAACGTCGAAGCGCTGAAGACCTCCTTGTTGACGCAGAACCGTACAGAAACTGGTCCGACATCACCTGCTGCTGCAAAGGATAGTTGGCTTTCCCTCGACATAGCAGTAACAATTGATGGTTGTGTAGTTAATGCGTTAGTGGACACCGGTGCAGACTATTCCATACTGAGCAGGAAACTGACAACGCAGCTGAAGAAAGTAATCACGTCGTGGCATAACTCGCAGATCCGGACAGCTGGTGGCCATGTCGTTACTCCACTGGGCGCCTGCACAACTAGAGTACAGATTCAAGGGTACACATTCGTAGCAAGCTGCCTTGTCCTACGTGAATGCTCCCGTGACGTCATTCTGGGAGTTGATTTTCTATAGGAAAATGGAGCTATCATTGATCTGCAAGAGCGCCGCGTCACGTTCTCAGCCCAGCGAGCAATCAACGTGCAGGATGACGGAATGCGTGTCGACGTACTCCGTATTTCTGAACAGAGCGTGACGCTTCCTCCCCGAGCCAGTGTTCTAGTCGACATAACATGCTGTGGTTTGAGCGATGTGGTGGCCGAGACAAATTTAGAACACCTCCTGCAGCAAGGCATATGTGTAGCGAGAAGTGTAATACAGTTCGTGACGGCCGATCTGAATTGCTCGATACCAACTTTAGCAACGAGCATCGACACCTTTTCCGTGGCACTTCGATAGCGTTTGCCCACGGAGTAGCAAACGTAACCAACTGTCTCACGTCATAAATAGTGGATATTGCAGACACATCAATGAGCAACATTGACATCAATCCTGATCTGTCCACCGATAACCAGACTGCGCTGCGAGCGCTCTTGTTCGAGTACAGGTCTTGCTTCGCAAATTGCTCGAAGATCCGCCAGACGTCCATCACTCAACACAGGATCATCACGTACGAGGACGCACGCCCAATACACCAGCACCCCTACCGCGTGTCGGCTAAAGAACGT